ATGAAAATTGAATAATCATTTCTTCGCATAATTTCTTGTTTCTAAAATACTTCTCAATGCACAAATTCCAATCCACTTTCTTTTTGCATTTATTTTTAAATTTCCATCCTTTTCCTTCTTTTCTTATCTCTTTTCAGTCCGAAACCACCCTAAATTCGCCTCGAAGGCACTAAACAAATTCACGATGCAATAATATGAAAAGTATTGTCAAACAGGGAATTAGAAAATATTCAATGAACATTGAATTATCATTTCCTACTTTTAAAATACTTTTTCCCATTTTCTTTCATTATTTAAATTTCTTTTCAATCTTAAATCTTCCTAAATTTTCCTCGAAGACACTAATGCAATAATATTAACGTGAAACAAGGGCATGAAATAAAAATTGAATTATCATTTCGCTCTTATCATTCTCACCAGCTTCGTTTACTATCTAGTTTTCTAGCTTCTCCACAACCGAAGTAAGTTTCATTTTCTTAGAAAAGACCGGCTGTCCATTCGGCGGTGCAATTCCCGCCGCAAACTCTTATTATGATGTTAATGCAAACACACCGGTTACGAGCAGCTAGAATGTCATAACGACATAGAAGTACGTGGACAGGCGCATAAGCACTGTAACGCGGCACGTAATTGTTACACACGCGAGTACATCGCTATGTAGATGAGAAATAAATGTGTCAGGGAAGAATATGCGTTAATCACGTGTCGTGAGCGGCTCTTTGATTTCACAACACAGATAATTCCACATATATTCGTGGCAGTTTCTTGTATTCTTTCCCAACGACGACGTATCACGAACAATCGAAGCCTATGATTTATATGCGTTTTCTATCACGAGGGAACAGAGATAGGCGGACGTCGAACAGGTTTAAGTTGACACAAAAACATTCATCTTTTTGTACATAAAGATCGTCGCAAGTAAAAATTGTAGAATTATTTCCTTAATTATACCGATAGGAAATGTTTTCATATCTCGTTTCAAATTTCTAATTTTCTAATAGCTCTTTTCGACAAATTTCAAAATTCGAAAGCTCTTCGAACTAACTTTAGTAACATTTCAATATTTTTTTAAATCCCTGCTTTCGTTTACGATTGAAAAATTTTAGATTGCACCAATTTTGCAATTGGACACGTAACAATTTGCAATTTTCATTTCTGCAACTAGAAATTTTCTTCGCAAAGTTCTATTAATTTCACTGCTTTCCTTCGTGAAGGAATTTTAACGATTGAAATAGATAAGTTAATCACGAGACAGTGGGTTAAACGAGGAATTATCGAGTGAAATCACAGAGACACGCGGAACTTATTCTGAAGAAATTCTGATAAGTGATTTATTCTTTATTTAAGAATAACACTCTCCGGTTTTTATCTCACGCCTTCGAGTGACACGAACAGCAATGGACGAGCTAGGGATAGTTGATGATTTATTTCGATCGTAATAGAAAGGATGAGAAAACAAATGAGGGTTACTTGGAATTTATGGTAGTATGTATTGTGCTTTGGCAGGGAATCAAAATAATAGGCATTATGTATTTTTTTCGATTTCGAGGGTGAATATTGATGAGATAGATCAAACATGCCATTTATTGTTATTGGATACCTCTGATAATAAAAATTACACTATATTGAAATTTTTTGAAGAACTCTCCACTCTCAAAATAGTGTCTTCTTTAATTTTCAAAATGAAGAGTGGACGTAGAAGTGGTTCCAAGTACCAATAACAAAAATTTCATGAAAACAATATATCAAAACTTACTATATTTCTATTTTAATATTTCGAAGCCTTATTAATTTAAAAAAAAATTGTTCGTCATAAAAGAAGATGGTAAATAAAATGGCACTTAGAGCTTCTCTAACTACTTTCTGAAGAAAAATCAAGGCACAAGAAGAATGTTGCTCTAAATTTCTTAATATTGAACTGTTACTACTTTTTTATGAAAAAATAAAAAATAAAAAGGAAATTTCGTTGTATAACTAGAATGGAAAGAAAACGGCAACATTGAATGGAGCAATGTTAGGTCCACAGAAACGACTTTTGCAGAGACTGTGCGTTCTATTTCGATTGTCAAGCGACTGTCGGCAACATCGATGAAATCATTCTTTGAAAAGTTCAAAGTACATGTACATACATACCTGTCCAAGGAAACCGCAACAAGGCTGTAGACAGAGGCCGCCACAGAAACGCCCTGTATATAAGCCACGGCTTTACACATGAACCATCCCAGGAACCATGCTGAAACACAAGTTCATCGTTTATCGTTTGAAGTCAGGCGACAGAGTAAAACTGAGCTTTCCGTCCAAGATGATTTTCGTTCTTTTCCCAACGTGAAAGGATACGAAATGGAAATGGAACGTAACGTAGTGCGACGTTGCAGATGATGATTTGTCTTTAAGAACGAAGGAATGACGAATTTAATATTTTTCAGTGAGAGGCTGATTAAAAATTAATTTGTATCACAAATTAATCATTCAATTTTTCGGCATTTCTAAATTTCTAAATTTGATCATTTCCAATATTTCTAAATTTAGTAATTTACAATATTTCTAAATTTGGGAATTTATATCATTTCGTAATTAATAACTTTCAAAATTTCATAATTTCCAATATTTCTAAATTTAGTAATT